CAATGATTTTAAAGATCCATCTGCAGTGATAATTTTTCGACTACTTGGATATGGTAATATGTGTAAACATGTTTTAGTCATATGATCAGTTGCCTTTGAGTTTATAATCCATGATTTCTCAAATGATATATCTAAGATATTAAAACCATATGAGTGAGAAAAGATTCCTGAATGTGCCAACAGACCTTTATCTGTGGGCTTCTCTAGGTCCTCGAACCTGTTTTTAGCCGTTCAATTTCAGTCTTGAATTCAATCAATTCGAAGAGCTTGTCTTCTTCATGCTGGATAACTGCATGGGTTTGTTTGTAAGGGTTCTGTAGAGTGTTTTTGCACCCTCATTCTTTGTTTGCGGTAGTTGGCTTCCCATGGAGCTTCCAACACTTAATTATCATGCGTTGAGAATTTTTACAGAAAATACACCATAAATTTTCGCTATTCTCTCTTGAGCTTATGTTGTTACTCGGTTCTTTCCCTTGTTGACGTGGTTTAGAGCCTTTAGTGGCCATTTCTGAGTTATCAGTAGTGCACGGCTCTAGCATAACTCTTCTCCTGCTTTCTTTGGCACTAACTAGTGATATTGCTTTATTCAGAGATGGTAACTTGTCTTTTCCCAGGATTTGAATTTTACTTGATCATATTCTTTATTGACAGTGGTAAGCCAGTTGAAATTGGGAGTTATTAAAGGCTAGGTGGGAGATTGATACATCTCTCACATACTAGGCCGGACATAGTTGGTGAACAATACATGCATTGACCCTGAGAACCATTCTTGTAGGTAGTTTATCAAATTTTCAGATACTTGAAGTCTGGTCCTAGGAAAGGCTTATTCTTTTCCAAGCATTGTCACGTCAAAGTAGAAGAATTCATAGATGCAGATTAGGCTGGATCTCTTAATGGTAAGATGTCTACACCTAGTTGTTGCACTTTTCTATGAGATAACTTAGCAAGTTACCTAAGAAGTATAAAAACAACCTATTGTTGCCAGGTCTATTACAGAAGTAGAATATAAAGCAATGATACAGGGCCTGTATAAACTAGTTTTGTCGCAGAAATTATTATATATCTTGAGAATGATAGAAACAAATAGTCTAATATTATACTGGGAGAACAGTAACAATCTGCATTGCACATAATTCTATTTAATATAAGAGAACTTAGAATATTTTTTTTTGAAATAAGAAGTGTAAAGAATATATATTAACAAGGTACCAAAAAACAGGGGGTACCACCCATTACAAAAGTTTTACAAGATAATTAATGTGTTAATGATATTCCCAAAATGCTCATCACTAATAATGTCATGTTCTAGTAAAATAGACCCAAAATAATGCATCCATTTATCTCTCAATCCATACAATTCAACCTCCTTACCCTCAAAAGCTGTAGAATTTCTCTCTTTTCAAATAACTCAAAAAATGGTCAATGGAATTAATTTAGTCAATTTCCTATCTAAATGCATACCATCCCAAGCCCATAATTCCTTCCTAACAGGCCCTGACATAACCCAGTTGATACCAAAAAGGTTATAAATAAGACTCCAAAGCTCAAAAGCCACAGGACTAAGAATATTGGAATTGATAAATATTTTATCAAGGAAAAAATAAACAATGGTGTTCCAAGTATATGTTGTGACTACTCGATATCAACTAGTTTATGCCTTCAGCAAAAGCCTCTGCAGTAAACAATTCCATGGATTGATTTTCAAGATGAGTATGAAGGAAATTTATGGACCATCCTGAGAGAGTGTTGATTATCAGAATTCCAGGATGTTTGCCATAACTCCAGAATCCTAACTTTCCATTTGTATTATTCATAATTCTCTTGTGTAAGCATTCTGCTTTAATTTTGTAATAATTCTGTAACCAGATTTAGCTAATTCTACGTAAATGTCACTAGTATCTATATGTATTAAGGTTCGTGTGAAATATGAAACAAAAATCTTTCTTCCTCCATTTTATGTCTCCTGTTAAGTTTCCAGTACTACTTCATGCACATCAAGATTTTCCTAGATAACCATATTGGACTCCCTTTAAGCAAGAAATCCTAGAGGTTAGTCGTTGTAAATACTTTACACTAAGTCATAACATGGTGGTGATATAGTATTCTATACTCTCGCTCTTTAGAACTGTTTCTCATTTTGAACCTAGGCTCTTTTGGTTTGTTTTTCATCATCTCCTTTTTTCTTTGAAATAAAAGAAGTTGTATTAAAAGATCGGTACCAAGGGGGTACCACCCAATTACACAGCATTTGCATCTTTATCAAATGATCTAGCACCATTCCAAATTCATCAACATCAGAAATATCATGACCCAACAATAAAAAACCAAAAGTATGTATCTATCTATCCATAGTAACATTGAAGTTTTTCATCATCTCCTAATGCTAGTCTCTTCAACACATAAGATTTCTGGTCATTGAGCATAAGTCTTCATCTCTCTTGTGGGAGGAACTGTTGACTCCATAAGAGTATTTGAGAATGGTAAAGGCACTTGTTTGTCTTTTTTTATTTCGGGGGGGGGGGGGGGGGGTGTTGAGGAGTATGAAGTACTTGAGTAAGAAGCTTGAAAGGAGCAAATCACACACTAGGACGTCCTAGTCCTTACATAGTTGGGATGCACATAATCTTTCTCCGTAATGGGAAAGAAGTTGACAGCTCGTGGCACTTCATGGAGGTTTTGAGAGGGATTTTGGGAAGGTCGTCCGGCCTCCCGTGCTTGCCTTGTGGCGAGAGGTGCCCTGGGTTTATTGCAACTCCTCTTGGGGTGCTTTTTCGGGTTATAATTTGGTGTGTGTGATTCCTCTTACTCATCTTGCAAGGACAACACTTCAGTTACCTGTTGAATTGCTGTTAATGGAGGTCAAAATGCAGTATCAATCTTTTGGGTTGAGCAAATTTTGAATTAAAAAAAAACTAGGATTCTCTTTGGCAGTTTCATAATCACTAGTAAGTAACTAATAATCAGCAGTTTTATAGTGAAGCTTAAGGTAGAATGACAGGAGATTAAGAGCGGAATAGAGGGAAGGGAAAGGCAAGGGAAGAAGGGAAAGGAAGCAGAGAAAGAAAAGAAAAGAAATGGGTTGAAGAAAGGGAGAGAAATGCTTCAACTCTACTCCAATCATCATCATTGTCCCCGTAATATCCAATTTCTTCATATAGGCAAAATAAATGGTAAAAGAGCCAATATCAACCTTAGCAACTAGACAAGTCTGCCATTTGAGATGAGAAAAGTTGGCAATGTGTGATTGCCACCTACCTTGAGCAAGTCATACCCTAGCACTTCAAGAATCAATTCATAATAAGGTCTTATATCATTCTTGCCGCCATTAGTAAGATGCGAATTTATCCTTATAAAAATTGAAGAAAAAGAAAGTAAAACATAACAAAATCAAGCAAAAAGGTAAATGTACAGATAACAATTATCTTTAGTCTTCTGCCTATAGGTGGTTCTAAAGTCTTCTTGGTGCTTGGGATGGTTCCATCACCCCATAAGAACTGTTTCTTCTTCTTATCAAAGAAAAAAATGTTGAAAGTTTAACATAAAATCGTGTTTTCTTTGGATTTCTCATTCTTTTGGAAAAGAATACCTTGGTGTTCATCGTGTTACTAATGGATTTTTCAGTTTCTTATTACATGGTATATGTCACTTGTCACATTTAAAGTTCTCCAAGATGGCGAGATATGACATGACTGGTATTGGAATAAACATCAGGGAGATTCCAGATGACAATGGACATGTAAAACTGAAGGTGCTAGGATTTATATTGGATGGCCCTGCACATACTGCTGGTGTGAGGCAGGTAAAAAAGCTACAACTGCAGTCTGCTTCTTAATGGTCATCTGTACCTTGTGGTTTACTCAGTTTCTTGTTGCAATATCATTGGCAAAACCAGAGAAATAAAATTTCTGGGGTTGGGGCAAAGTGATTGTTTTGGTTAAAAATGAAATGATGGTAAATTATTGTAAATCTTAATAATAGTTTTGCTTTCTAACTACTGTATTAATATTATTTTATCTACATTATGTATTCTATATTTTTGTCATATTATAATTTTATATCTCTTAACATAATAATAAAGTAAATCTGTTTACATTTTTATTGTTATTTTCCTTATAAATTTATACGTTCTTCATATAAATTTATAAATATTTGTAGATATTTACTTACATATTTATGAATAATATATTTAAATTAAAATAATTAAATTACTAATTAGTTCTGCTCAAGATATTTAAAGTTTTGAAAAGTTTTTCGTTAATAATAGATATATTTACCTTGATTCTCATATTCTTCTTTCCATCTTTAATAATATTTCTTCTTCTACCTTTTATAGCTAAAAAATAACTAATTGAAACTAATTTCTAACTAATCGAAACAACTTAGCTAATTATTTCTAACAAACCTAGCCGCTATTAGTTGGTTCCTCTCATCCCCTATTTCTTCCAATGGCTAATATATTTCTTTCACTAGCCAAGTATATAATGGCCACTGTCTCTCTTTTCTCTCTCAAATGTATGTTTTAGGTGTATGCTTGTGTACCTGTTCTCAATTGGCTATCCGATACTCTTCTTCTCTCAACCTGATGGTTATTTTCTAAAATAAACAAGAAAAGGGGCAAACAAGATTAATTTAGTACTTATCCAACTTCTTGCCTTTTTGGCTTCCTTTTCTCTCTTTTGAAGTGTAATGTTCCTTCATCTCCTTCAATAGCATGAATGATGATTATACATGCAGCAGGAATTGGAATATTTTATATATTTAAGGACCAACTGATGAAACAGATAATTTAATATCTCATATTGTAGTTTCTATTGGCAGGGTGACGAAATCTTAGCTGTCAATGGAGTGGATGTAAGGGGGAAATCATCTTTTGAAGCATCATCCCTGTTACAAGGCCCAAATGAAACTTATGTCACAATCAAGGTTGTTATCATGAAGTAGCAGGATTTCAGCATTCTTTTTTGGTTTCTTTCTCTTTGATATTTCAATATGCATACTCAATTTCAGGTCAAGCATGGCAATTGTGGGCCTATCCAAACAATAGAAGTTCAGAGACAATTAATTGCTCGAAGCCCAGTCTTTTACCGGCTGGAACAAATTGATAATGGCAACAGTTCTGTTGGGTATATACGCCTGAAAGAGTTCAATGCATTAGCCACAAAAGATTTGGTAATTGGTAATAATTCTTCTATTTATGTGGATCGTAGATATTTTGTTGCTGACCTATTGTTCTAGGGCGCACTGAACTTAATTTAACAAGTAATATTTTCTTCTGTTAACTGACATTTTAGTGTAGAATAAATTAAAGTTAATTTGCTTACTTGAGAATTAGGGTTAAACTTAAGTAACATGTTAGGAAATTCTTGTGCATGGCCTGCAATATTTGATTGTATCAAACAATCAAAAACAATTGAGAAAATTATCAGTAATTCACCTAATCTAACAATAACTACAAATAAATTTTAATGTTACTAACAGTATAATAATATACTGTTAAGTAATAGAATAAATTTTTACAAATATAATTCGTAATCTATTTAGGAAGTCTAGAATAAATACGTTCTGTATGACTATTAGTTCTGATGATTAGTGAACTTTGAATATTTTTTCTTTACAATAAAGATGAAATAAAGAAAAAAAAATGGCTGGTTTGAAGTAAAATGAAAAATATTGTGCTGAAGCAGGCTAAAAATTGGAATTCATGCAATGTCTGGCATGATACTGGTTGATTCTCTCTCTTCCTTTCTCAAGTTCTTGAGCCTGTAACTGTCAAGTTGTGCTTCAGGCCCATGTTAGTTTCTTTCTATGTTGATACCTTGTGCAATTTTTAATTTACTTATTTAGTTAATTAATTTTGGGGTAGCTCACTCCGTGCTTCCCCACCCATGCCAAACTCCTGCTCATGGAGGCCCTACTTGTTCTATTTGAGGAGCAATGGTTTATCATTAATTTTTTTCTGTAGCAATGAACCGACTTCAAAGCATGGGTGCCTCATATTTCATCGTGGATCTTAGAGATAATCTTGGCGGACTAGTGCAGGTTTCTGGCTGAATATACCTTTCTTTATCTTTTATTATTTAATATATTTAGGTATACTGACATGGTCTGCCAAATTATTATAGAACTTTAGGTTTCAGCTTTTATTAACGGTAAGCTTTTTAGTTCCCCAAGAGGGCAGCATGTCTATGTCCTTTTCTCTAGTTAACAAGGAAGAGTGTACGTCAGACTAATATAAACTACTTGCAAACTTCTGATCCCGTGATAGTAAGACAAAATTGCATATTTAGGAGAATTTTTAAGATAACAACAACTTATCTTATACCTGTGAACTGGAACTATGTTGGGGGTTAGGCATCCTCATTCAACAACAATATTAGGCATGTCGTCAGTAGTGCTGCTGTTGCCTTCCTTCTGGTGGCTATGCTATTTGTGTTATTTTAACAGGAAAACAAAAAATACATGTCTAGTAGGAGACTAGATGTTGAAGTAAAGAAGTGAAGAGAAACACCAAATCCTCTTGAAATATGTCTGGGCATGTTATACTCGTTATGGACCACTAAGGATGCAAGACTTCTGTTATAATTGTATGCCAAATACCTGGTGGGAAGTTTAAATAAATGGAGGGAATATCTGAATAGTTTTGGTTGCTTAATTCACATGCATTATTGTGGCTCCATTTTTTATTTGAATAATTTAATTTGGTTCTACCATTTTCAGGCTGGAATTGAAATTGCCAAGCTCTTTCTAAACAAAGGAGACACGGTGTGCCTACGACGAGATTTGAACTCTTAAGATACATGTTTTCTGTTTCCTTAATTTTCTTAGTTTGCATCCTACAGCAATTTTGTTACCATCTTCTCCAAAAAAAGGAAGGTTCCCTTTTATTACCATCTGCATCGTACAGCAATTTTGAAATCATTTAGCATGCAACTAGCCTGCCCAAACCTTTCCATTTAGGAATTCATCCCTTAAAGAGATATTTGGAAACTGAGTGTTTCTCCTAGAATTATTTTCTTTGCTTGGGAAGTGACGACAGATAGAATTCCCACCATTGACAATTTGAGGAAGGGAAAGATCTTGGTTAATGGTGTTAACTGTGCAAGAGGGCATCTGAAACTCCTAGTCACCTTCTTTTGCAATGCTCCACTTTGTGGCTTTGGTTCATTGCTCATAACTTCCGGGCCTATGTTATGCCATTGCTGGATTTGTTGCTAATGAGATTTGGATGAGACTGGGTGTTTGGGGATAAGAATAGGAGGGAACTTGTTTCTCTTGTTACCTTGTGAGTTATTTAAAGAGAGAAACAATAGAACTTTTGAAGATGCATGTTCTAGATTTATGGTTCTAAACCTTGTACTTTTTTGTTCAAGGGAGTAGCCTTCTTACTTCCATCGAGAACTTTCTGGACCTTATTGACATTTTGATCAACTTGGGATTAGTAACATATTCTTTTTCTAAAAAAGAAACTACTTTTGATTGTGGATTGCATCTATTTGACATTTTGATCAACTTGGCATTGGTAACATATTCTTTTTCCGAAAAAGAAACTGCTTTTGATTGTGGATTGCATCTTTCTTTATTATTTAATTTTAACCTTCTAAACTCTATTCTGCTATATCACATTTTGATAATTATAAAGATTTGTTTATTTCTGTTTTGTTTCAAACCGTTTAATTCTACAAATATCTCTACTATTTTCCTTTAAGATAATGCAACATGACAGTCATCAGACTCTTTTTTAGGTTTTATTTATTTATTTCTTTTTTCTTTTTTCACAAAAGATTTTTCTCATTTGGATTATTATTTTTATTTCTGTTGCTATGAAAACAATAGTGTAATAATGTGTATATCTTAATTCCTCAACCCTTTGTATCAACATGGTCTTTTTACCCTCTGATATATGTTCAGGTTATTTATACGGTTGGGAGGGATCCCCAGTACCAAAATACTATTGCTGCAGATTCTGCACCATTGGTTACAGCTCCTGTTATTGTATGTGCTAATACTTTGAGGGATCTATTCTTTTGAGGGGCATTGCTGTTCTTTGGAATTAATTTGTTTCTTAATATTTGCCATGTTAGGAGAACATTTTTCTTGTTATTGATGTGAGATAAAGAGAGCTTAAACATAATACTTGGAGAAAAAATAACAGAGAACTCTATAAGTAATTATATCTGAATAATGTAAAAATTCCAACTGTGTGTAAAAATTATCACAATAGTACCAAAGGAGTAAAGCCCATGTGTAAAAATATTTACAACTCTATTAAAATAGCTATAAGATCCCCATATCTTCGCTAGAACATAGCAGCTGACCCTTGAAAAAATTAGGGTCTGGAACCCTGAATTTTAAAATTTATCGAAATTAGTTTGTGTGCCCTCAAATGCCCTCCTTTTGCTCTTCTTCCGGATAGCCCACAAGATAGTCAAATGGATATGTCTGACTTATTTCTTGTCACTTGAAATGTCTTTCCACGCTTCAACCTCCTCCTCACAGTTTCTGCAATAACACAGCTCAACCCCAATAAGCTATAAGTCAAAGAGCAAAGGCGGCTTTCATAAGGACACCAAGGGAGCATATGATAGCATGTCTCAGCACCATTTTTGCACAGATAACATTCATTGACCAGAAATTTTTCCCTTTTAGTCAACCTACCAAGAGACCTGAAGCTTTCCCCTTTTAATCAACCTGTCCAGAGTTAGGATGCATCCCCACATTGCTCCCAATCAAAAAAGGCCACCCTAGGAGTCGTCTTCACCTTCTAGATCAGGTTCAATGGAAACTTCTCACTTGCATCCTCACTTGTTGGGAAGTGTAGGTAATAAGATTTAACTAAAAATATTCCCTTGGAATTCAAACTCCAAATTGGTTCATCCTCAGTCCTAAATGGAAATCATCACCATGGCAGATGGTGAACATGGAACCTCTTAGATAAAGAGGTCTGTACACTAGCGACTAGACTGAAGTTAGTCGGTAATATATGAATATAGTTAATTCAATTATACATAAGATGTGTATATTAAACTACAATCTGCTTGTCAAATAATTATCTATGAATAGCATGGAAATATAATAAACTTTAATAAAGTGGAAATATAACGGGTGATACAAGTTCGCATTTAATATCATTCAATAAATCTTCTGATATGCAAGTTTTGTACTTGCGGTCAATGCAGGTGTTGGTAAATAATAAAACAGCGAGTGCAAGTGAAATTGTAAGTGGTTCATCTGTGACCAAATATGACTGATTGCCTCTGGCTTTTCATAATTGTAGCATTTCTCATGTTTCAGGTTGCTTCTGCACTTCATGATAACTGTAAAGCAGTTCTTGTTGGCGGGAAGACTTTTGGCAAGGTTCAAATCTTGAATAATATAAAAATGACTTAAAAATATAATGTTTTTTTTTAGAATGTAGAATTGAAAAAAGAAAAGCAAGCAAATATTTATTGCAGACCTCTTCTTCTTCCTTTTTTTTTAAGCTACTGATACTCCTAACTCTGTCTAGAATAATTTTGCACCGGAACTCCTACTTTACAACTTCTACATTTTTGGTTTCTCTGTGGAAGGGGGAATTATGAAATTGATTTTCAGGGTAGTATTAAGTTTTCGTTCTGTACTTCTCAAAGCTATACGCCTGTGCGGGCTAATTAGACATTGTTTTGATATTTTATCTCTTTCCTTCTTTAACATACTCTTTTTCCATACCAAAAAAGACCTATTTAGAATGCCAAATTGACTGAAAATCTGGAAAGTATTCCATACAGTGTCTTTGACCAGTGCCTGTTTGGTTTTTCAGTTATCCATGTCTCAATTGCTAAGGTCGTTGTCCTAGGCCTTAAGACTAAAGAATAACATGATAGAGTGCTGGCGCTTTTCCATACATTTGATACTAGTTGATATTAATCTTACTAGGGTTTGATTCAATCTGTATTTGAGCTTAAAGATGGATCTGGGGTTGTTGTCACAATTGGGAAATATGTCACGCCCAATCACATGGACATAAATGGCAATGGCATTGAGCCTGATTTTGCAAATTTACCAGGTAATAAATTATCTTCAATTTCTTTTTCAGCCATGAAATTTGTTGGACAGTGTTGATTTACTTGAAACCATCCATGTGCAGCTTGGAGGGATGTTACAGAACATCTTTCGAAGTGCAATATGCATAGTCAAGTTTAAATATCCTCTATGTTCAGGTTTTTCTCTCTTCTGGTTCTTGATTCTTCTCGTCTTTGTCTTCGTCTTCATTTTTCTTATCATTTTTTGAATATTTCTTGACACATTAACATGAAAACAGCCATCTTTCTGGTACAACGCTATTCTCATAAGGAGGCACGGCATGATTCTCTGTTAAATAATATTCTTGTGGGCAATGATGGAATCGACACACATGGAAATGAAGCATTGGCTTCTGTGTTCTTGCATCGCGGCAGAATGGACTTAGCAAGGTGTAAATCGGTGATGTTGATCCTCCGGTGAATCTCAGTCTAAGGTTGGGTAATATTTGATCAAAAATTGATGTAAATACTAAAATGTGGATTCAGCACCAAATGCATCCTTCCGATTTTGAATTTTACATTTGATTTCAGATTAGCTCAAGAGAAGATAAATCAAAATCACATAGTACAAAATTTAACGTCTGTTTGACCCAATTTTTACTGCCGCAAAAACCTAACTCTGATCAAAGAATAAAACACATTAATGCTTTGTTCTAAGAGCTTAATTAATTTTTTTTGTTACTGATATAATGTAAAATCAAAATCGATAAATAAATAATTTTCATGAATTACTTGTCCTGTAAGAGATTAATAATATTTTATTGGTATATTTATTAACTTTATATTATATTAATTTAAATATTTCTTAAAATAAGAGATCTCAGTGATAGATTGATTATTAACATTGTTATGTTTATGAAAAAATTTTCCAATAATTTTTATTTTAAAATAAATTAATAATAACATAGAATTAATATTTACATAAAAATAGTTATGTGAACAAAATATTTTAAAATAATTTAAATAATTGTAATAATTGCACTTTTATTATAAATTTTGTATTATTTTGATATTTGTTAATGATTTATAATTTCTATTTTTTTTAAATGAAAGTGTTGCGTCATATTAATGTAAGAATGTTAAGGGGATATAATTCATTTACGAAGTCGATTAAATTATCGATAACAAAATCAAAATCATCGAATTAATAATCGATGTTATGTTCCAAAATTTTGTTAATAATTTATAATATATTAAATTAAATGTTATATAATCTTTTACATTAATTTTTTTTTTTATAATAAGTTCTTGCAAATATCAGTTTTAAATAATTTTATAATTTTAACTGGTACTCATTTCCACACTACTTTTAGCAAAGTACATAAAATAAAAATATTAATAGAGCCGAATGGATCATTATATTGTTAAACACTCTAGAACCATTATATTGTAAAGGGTAAATCTATATACTTTCATAAAACACACACAAACACACACATGATTATGTAATCTATACATTTTCTCTGGTGTTAGATAGTTGTGTACACTGCAATGTTGCATATTCATAAATTCCTAAATTCATAAACATGTAAGGCTTGAAACAATCTCAAGCTCAACCATAATCCACCTCTAACATTTAATAATCAATAAATCTTCCCAACTAAAACTTAATAATTTAGATTCTTTACATATAATAATTCTGCAACCCAAGTATAAAATTTAGTTCATATATTTTGATTCTCTAAATTAGAATTTTTAATTATTCACAGATCCCAACTTTCACCCTCCACACTAACTTCTATTCAAAAATGGAGTTAGCTCATCCATTGCCTCCTCAGTAAGGGCCAGATATGAACACTGAAAGCCATGAATGTAGACAAGCTGTAACAAGCAGTCATGAACTTGGTAACAGAGAAACATAGCAACAAACTTTAAGCAATAAAAACTAAATTGGAATTACATGGCCCAAAATTCCATCTGCAAATGCAGGATATTCAAGTAATGAGTTCCCTCCATTTTCTTTATTGCAGTTGCACAATTCTCACACAGAATACAACCCGATGGATACAAATTTCTACTTGTATCTTTCACAGAAAAGTGCATATACTTGATAAAGAACATGCACCCATGTCTGAGTGACAGTTACAGCATTCATAAACTTCTAAGGTTGGATCGGTATCAACCCAAAGATCAAAAGATTTCTCAACCTTAGATCGGATTGATTCCATTTACAAGTAATAATAGATTAAAGATAAACTCAACTAAGGGAAGATAGATAATAATAAACATATAAGATACAAACTGGAAGTTAGTAGCAAAAGCATTTAAGCATCATAAACCTACTATACAGTACAAGTTGGGAGAAGAAACAATACACATGAAGAATAAACGAGGCTCCCCCACATGAATAATACATTACAACTCCCTCAATCACTACACAAACTCAATAATAACGTAGATAGAAGTAATCATCCCATATTACACCAGGCAGATACACTTGGATTACATAGGCTTCACCATTTCTTAAGCAGGAAAAGAAAAAGGAATATTTGCAAGCTGACCAGGAGATCAAGGATACAATGAGAAGAAACAAAATAAGATTGTCTTATCATGTCCAAAAAAATTACATAACTCCAATCTGTTCTCAAGATTGCTCAAAATTCGAAGTAGAAATCAGGGCAAGAAAAAATTGTCAGGCTAACTCAAATACAGCGACTGCAGATGAAGAATAAAAATAAAACTGCAATATAATTTTAATACATACCTAGTTTTGCCATTGGCAGATAATCTAGTATGTTCGTCAGATAACCTGCATACAAGGCATGGAAACTTGTAAAACTGTTAAAGATCTGTTAAGGGTTAATTTATGTTACGACAAGCAGTGATAGGCAACTATTTTCTATAGCCGTCACCATTTACTTTCAGATTCTTCATTGTAGCAACTATATAGTTTAAACAAACTCTTTTCTTTTCACCATCTACTAAATAGGTCAAATATGGTTAGCATGAGACACCAGGTTGTGCTGCTAATATGGTTGGCATGAGACACCAGGCTGTGCTGCCATTCAACTTCATCCTTGTCGACCCCATAGTCACATATTCAACCACAGTTCTCAACTCCTTGACAACTTCTGTCAATGCTCATAGCCACACTACTGGATAAATGATGAAGAGTGACAAGACATGTGGCTAAGTTGATTAGCACCTACTGCAAAGCAGAAATTTCTCGCATAGAACATGTGGCTAAGGTGATTTGTCCACTACTATAAGATTCAAATCTCTCAAAAATCCAGAACATCAAAGTCAATAACCTTACCAGTAATGTGTAAACAAGCTGTCAGAATATCTCTTCCAGATTCACAGCATCAGAATTCTACATCCTCTCACGAAAATGAAGTTTGCTATCAATCTGTAATTACCACCTAATTAAATAGCTTAAAGTTATGAGAGTCCTTAGCAAGATCTTTTCCGCTTTAAACTCACAACTTCTAATTTGGATCAGGAAGTACTTTTACTATAACCAATTTGGATCACGAAATAATACTACACTGCTAGAAGCTACAATTGGTTCTTCCATATTCCTGGTCCATTGACTAGGTTTCCTAATAAAGAGCTATATCATGTTGGCTAACCTACTAATTTCTAATAATCATATAATCTGATCCCAGTTCTCCAATAACTGCAAGAAATTTAACCATCTAAGATAGCTCATTATTCTCACAAACGAAAGGGTCTTCATTCCTAAAGATTAGCAAACCAAAGTTTATTCCTCGTGTGGGTAAAGAGTTCTCTAGATAAATTTAAATTTTTATTCCCCTAGAAGACAACTAAAGTAGAAAAGATTTCTTCAGAAAAAATTGGCTCCCTATAAATTTTGCGAATTGATTTTTAGGAGAACAAGAATCAAATTTTTAGAAGTTTTTTCTGCAATTCACTCTCTTTCTACTTTTATTTCAAAAAAAAATCATGACTATGCAGACCATCACATAGCTTCCTTGAATTGGCAGGAAATATTCTGTTCAGTTATCAGCAGGACATATGAACTACCTAGCTTAGTAACATAATCGGTCAGCGAAATTTATAAAGAGATCTATCTATAATGATTTCCTCATTGAAACATACAGTATATTACCCTAATTTTGATATAAAAACAAAAAAAATAAAAAAGAAGATCTGAAAAGCAAAGAGAAGGACCCAAGAAAATTTGATTTCAATAAGGAATGGGCCAAGGTTGCAGAAATTAACGAGGATAACAATATTGAGGATTATCTGTATGAAATTGGAGAACTGGAAAGAATAGAGGGACTAGCTGGTTTGACTGCAGAGGAAAGAGGCAAGAGAGATTTGCTCAAAATCAAATTGGCTAATTGTACGCATAGGGAAGCAGTATCTTGGAAGCAAAAATCAAGAGAAAAGTGGCTGAAAGAAGGTGACCGGAATATCAAATACTTCCATTGTTTGGCTAACCATAGAAGAATCAATTATATTGAGGAAATTGAAGTTGATGGGATCTGCATTAAAGGCAATGATAACATGAGAGATCATGCCATGTCTTACTTCAAAAGGCTGTATATAGAAGAGGTAGAATGCTGACCTAAATTAAATGGTCTGCAGTTTGATCGCTTAGACACTTTGGACAAGCTGCAACTGGAAGCTGAGTTCTCAGAAGCTGAAATTCATAGTTGCCTCAAGGAATGTAATGAGGACAAAGCTCCCGGACCAGATGGCTTCAATTTTAAATTTCTGCAACTTTACTAGGAGGTTCTCAAAACTGATATTCTTGTCTTTTCCAATGACTTTCACAAAAATGGCTCCATGGTTAGATCTTTGAACTCCACTTTCATTGTCATGATCCCCAAAAAACCAGGAGCCAAAAACATCAAGGATTTTCGCCCAATAAGCCTAGTGGGATGTATTTACAAGCTTCTCTCAAAAGCCCTTTCTAAGAGGTTATCAAATTGCCTTCACAAGATCATTGGTGCAAATCAGTTGGCTTTTATATCCGGGAGACAAATTACTGATGCTATTCTAGCTGCTAATGAGGTGGTGGATGATATCTACAGAAATACTAAAAAGGGGGTCCTTTGCAAATTAGATATGGAAAAAGCATTTGATCATGTTTCATAGAATTTTATCGATTATTTGTTGGACAAAATGAGGTTTGGTGAAAAATGCGGAGGTGGATTCAAAATTGTATTTCCATGTCTAATTTCGCTGTTATGGTAAATGGTGGCCCCTCTAATTTCTTTCAGCCTTCAAGGAGATTGAGACAAGGTGACCCACTATCCCCATTATTATTCATAATTGTTATGGAAGGAATAAACAAACTTATAGAAAAAGCCAGAACTCTACAATTTCTAAGGTGTATCGAAAGTGGGTAATTTCGGCTCAAAAATTCAAATCACACATCTCTTCATTGCCGACGACACCTATATGTTTTATCAACCGGATGTCAATTCCCTTCTCACTTTAAGGTGTATTCTTCTATGCTTTCAAGCTGTCTCTGGACTTAAAATTAACTTGCATAAATCCAAACTTGTGGAGATTGGTAATGAAGGCAACAGACGGTCTCTGGCTCAGGTTTTAAACAGCAGAACCGCTAATCTACCCATCAAATAGTTGGGAATGCCTCTCGGTGCTTGCTACAAAGATCGGAGGAGTTAGGACCCAATTATTGAACCTATTGAGAATAAGCTTGCTGGGTGGAAAAGAAACTTTCTCTTAAAGGGAGGTAGATTAACACTCATAAAAAGCACTCTATCGAATCTTCCGATTTATTTTCTCTCTGTTTTGTGCATCCCTAAAACTATCGCAAAAAAATTGGAAGCAATACAAAATCTTTTTCTTTGGGGTGATGAGGTCAACAAAAGGAAAATCCACCTTGTCAGATGGGAGGAGCTCAAAAAACCTATTGCCGCTGGAGGATTGGATATTAAATCTGTCATCACATTTAAATGGACTTGGCGTTTTTGGAACGAATAAAATAGCCTTTGGAGAAATTTTATCGTCCATAAATGGTATGGGGAAGACTTGCATAATTCCAACTTTCTGGATCACAGCATACATGGCTTCAGTCTATGGAAGAGTATAAAACAGGTGGGGAATTCTATATCTAACTTTTCCAGGTGGTCTATGGCTTCAAATGAGAGGTATCACTATGGTTAATAGATGCTTTTTATGTAAAACTGGTGTGGAAACATGCTCTCACCTGCTCCTTTGCTGCCCTTTCTCTCAATCTCTCTGGTCAATGGTTTTAAACATCATGAATGATCCTGGGTTACTACTGGGTCTGTTAAGGAAGAACTTTTTGCCTGAGAAGGCCTGTGCAAGAGAAAAGTTAATCTGAAAATCATTCTTTTGATTATTTTTTGGATTAGTTGGAAAGAAATGAACAACAGAACTTTTGGGGGTAAAGAATCAGATTTTGTTGCTATCAAGGATAAATGGTTGCACCTTTTTGGTTCTATTGTTCTTGGGCACAACCTTGATAATATTATTGATTTTTCTTCTATTGTACATACTCTTACCTATCTGTAAATCTTTTGTATACGGGTGGCATCCCCTTGGTACCTATTTTTAATATACTTACTCATTTTTATCTCAAAAAAAATAAATAAACATTATAAATAAAAGAATTAGACAGTTGGAACATTTCACCCTCAAATAATTCTGTTCTTAAGTTACTGCATGCTTTTCAGCAGACCACGTTTCTCTCCTCAGCTGCCTAATGCAGGAACAAATAAGCAGTTCTTGCCAAATCCATCTGGAAATTCACACTAAGTTCAACTAGGAGGTGATGAAAAATGATGAAGATCAAGGCAGCTTGGGCCACATGAGTGATGAAGATCACAGCAAGATCCATACAAGGGAAATCCTCACGCAAGATCCATACAAGGGGAGATCCTCACGGCAAGGTCCATATGAGTGGAGATCAAAACGGGTTGGGCCATGAACAACTTCCACATGGAGATGAACAAAAGTTGGACACCACACAAAATGTACCTGAACCACATGGAAGGAGTATCATAATGCTTAGTGGACCTATCACAAGATCACGGGCCAAAAAACTTAAGCAAGCCTTTCAAGCTTTTGTTCAAGAGTTGATTAATGAAGAAGAAAGCCTGCACGAGCTTGGAAGTCCATAAAGGAGGGAGCCAGAATCCATTCGGCCAAGGGGAGGGTCGGCCACTCAATATCCTACAAATTAAGGACTCTCAGCCAATCATCCATGAGAGTCCTTAATCTCCTCCAACTCTTCATAATCACCAATCCAAGAGTCCTTAAAATTCGGTTGTCACTCAACTACTCTCCTTTTCAATCATTATTCCTTGATTAGACACATATTATACATGAGAAAAATCAAGGATACTTATCTCATCAAGATTTGGATTTCAACTTCTTATCTCAAACAAAAAAAAGATTTGGATTTCAACTTTAAACTCTCATAAGGAATCAAGAGTTCTTATCCTACCGAGCACGAACAGTTGCCAACTCATCTACAAAGATCTTACCAAGCATTCTTTTTGTCATAACAAAAACTTGAAGATAAGAAGTCATGGCCAACCAATGAGAGAAAAGTCATGTTATGGACGCATTTGTAGGACGTAAATATGGAAAGCGCGACAAGAGGCCAGACAACGGCTAAATAAGAGGTTGAAATTCAATTAAACAAGAAATCTTAATTAGTATTAGATTCCTAAATAATAGGA